TCAATTTTTTGTCATCACAACATCTTCCTTAGGTATTTGAGTGCAGGTAAGCAACATTATGTGGTGGAGAAATAATTTCCATGAAAGTGATAAGATTTGAAGTTTTTGCCACTGTCCCATTGCATGTTTTGAAGTCCAGGCTTCATAACTTGCTGTATGAGTCTAATTATATGAAAGGTATCATGAAGCCTAGTTCTTCCCTTAAAAGATGATGATAGCTATAGCGCTATTTTTTTATTTGACATGTCAGGGACCTGCAATAAAATTGTCAGAGACGGGTGCCTATGAGGGAGGAATGGAAAGAGGGGCATCTGCAGTCCTTACAGTGAGATGAGCTGTCAGAATAATGTGTTGCTGTGAATAGATATTGGACAAGCATGTGTCCCAAGCCACCAATAGTGAGAACTGTGCATGCTGTATAGAAAACAGATGCTGTGATCAGGTCTTTTACTTATGTCCCATTGTTTTTTATGTTTAGAATGAGGACATTTTATGGCTGCTCCTGGTATTGAGAAAATCATGCTAGATTGTGTTATTCGTGCATAAATAAAGGTGATTTGTGCAGCACTAGGCATCGTCCAGTTGTTACCAAAAAAAAGTTTGATTTCCTCTATTGCCGGTAAATTTAAATTTCTACCCGTTTGAAAATCATGAAATGTGCATTTCAAATAAGACATGAGCAGAGTAGTAGCTGGTTGTGCAGCGGATTCAAAATCAATTTCCCCAACCTGCCCATGGCTAATGAATGCCTTTCAAAGGCCAGCGTAGGTTGTGACAAACAACAGGTTTTGATCTCTTCAGGCACTAAGATGACCTGATGCAAGATTAAAAGTGATTATATTTGATTTATGTGGGATAAGCAATTTGGAAACATGCACGACATGATCAGCTTACTGTGTGTCATGCTGGCATCGACCTCATGTCGACATCCTACCTACATATTAACTACGTTCTGACCAGGAACAAAATTGTAGCTGACGTTTAAGCTGCATAGCGCGAGCAAAATGGATGTCAAAATATTTTGAATCATAGGTCGCATGAACACACCAAATTATCACGCTAACCTAGTCAATGATCTTGATCTGACGCCATTGTGGCACCTACATGCTCGTAACACAGCATCCTCGTTTAGCCGAAGAGCGTATACTTTTGAATAACTGAAACGCCTCAATTGACCCAGCCCGTACAAACATGTAATGGGGGTCTGCAGGCCTTTGCCCTGACCTTGACCTTCCATGCCAGTATGATTTCCAATTGTTGTTTCTGTAAGATGCGCCCATTGACTCTTTCCGCTTGCATATATATTTCCAAATTCGGCAATGAATTCCCGAAAAAGCTTTGTGAGAGTTTTGTCTCCCGGCTTTCCAGTCCGAGGCGCTCGGCCGGTACGCCAGCCAATTAATGATTAATATACCTTGCAGCTGATATTATGGCCTATTCGGAGGAAGAAATAGCCTTGTTTTGAACCAACCAAAGATTTAGCTAGTAATAGTTAGTCATAAACCTGGCATAATTATTGCCGGTGCAGAACTGGTGCTTCCTAACATGATCCCAATTATTTAGAGCAAAAGCCATGCAATGTTGGTACCAACAGACGCAAACGACATTTTTGAACACATCTAGCACCTTCACTTAGTTTTATATGCATTATGGTGACAACTAACGGCGTTTTTTCATGCCTGTCCATCGATCAGTGCGCTAAGTCTGAGGTGCAACGGGCAATGTGAGAGACCTACACCAGCGATGCTCGGCCTCTTACCTCAAAGGAGTAAGAGGTCGAGAATCTGCTGTTCCTCTCAGTAGCAGGAAGCCCGGATGAATCCTTGACATGCATCACTCCAATGACCTCCGTTTACCTCTGAAGCTACAGCTTGGGTGTCCACAAACAAGAATCCTGGATCGGCAGGGCTTTTTAATGCTAATACCTTAAAAAATTGACGATTAGCTACGTCCTAGCTAGTCAATTTCTCGCGACATGAACACAACCAACAACAGCCCAGAGCCTTGCGCTGAACCCAGCGCATTACCGCCTGACCAGCAAACAAGCCCATCTGTCTCAAATGACATAACGCTTTCAAACGCTGCGTAGCAGTCTGATCACGTTCGTTGCAAGATACTGTGGTCAGCAACGACTATTACGACTTGTAATAAGCATGGCTGTTTGATATTTTATACTGTTCAGTATGTGAAGTTGATCTTGGTCGAAAAATCCGTGGAAAGCACTGATCTGAGCGGCATTGCGAAAGCACTGTGTTACCACTGATCTGTGACATCAGCACTGATATAGGATAGTTCGTAGTATGTTTCTGTCACCTGGTAAAGACTGTCCTGGTTAAAGCTACTGTTTGGCAGAATTTCATGGCTCAACTTGCTCATACAGCGAAATGCCAACGTTTTGGCATGTGCTCACGCTTCAAACATTAGCGAATACAGAACAATACTAAGCTTTGAGTTTCGTCGAGCTAGAATGATCTGTTGTAATATGGTCTTGTCCGTTGAACTTCGTTTTCAGTTTCGTAATTTTGTCACCAATTGATTCGCAAAAGTGTCGGTTTTTGTCACCGATCATATCCGTTAAATTAGAAACTTTTCACCCCTGACGATTTGGTAATAAACATCCGCTTGTGACCCGAACCAACCCCAATACTTCATAAAAGTAAGAAAGGGTTAAGAAGGGAAGCACCTGAAATAGCATCCAAAAGTAAGAACCTCGTTTGTGTGACATAATGTAAAATACTCCGGTTTCTCGTCTTTATTTTTGTGTAGGTAGAGCATGGTAGAGCAGGTAGGTAGAGCGGGTTGGTAGAACAGGTAGAGCATTCTCTCAACACTCTGGATTGCGCTGGCACATGCTTTTTAGAAGCACATCGGTTGGCTACCATTTACTGCCGCCAAAGAAGTAATTGGATGTGGAAAACATAGACAACCATTCTCGTTTCCACCAATAGCGTATCCCGCACTCATCTGACACGAGATCCAATCAGCCTTTCTGCCAAGGACATTAGCTGTGTCCTAGATGTAAGGAGCGCGGGTTTGAAGAGTCTTCCACATTTGTGTCGAGCTTTGAACTGAGATTGCATTTTGAAGATCATTCAATGCGATCCACAGCCATACCTTTTTTAAGGCTTCAGACCCTCTTACGTCTGAGCCTGACGCGCAAAAACTTGGGCAGACCTTTTCGCGCAACCTATTTGAGGCCACTCAAACTTGCAGGCTGTCATAGAAACGTCGCACGAGTATCACCAACTCAACGGCCATGTAGTGCCCAGTCAAGAAAAAACGTGATCATCGAATGATTTGTGTCTGGCGTATGTCAGCACGACTAGTGGCATCAAGAGACAGCTGTTGGGGTACAATCGGTTTAACGAGTTAAGTGAAAGCTTCGAACACGAACTACGCTTTGAAATGCGAGTTGAAGAACTTTGGACATTGGTGCTTGTTATCATGGAAATGATCATTGGAATCGAATGGCTTGAGGGCAGCCGCGTAACGGAGTGCATGGAGGCAAGCAAAAAGTACAAAATCACCGACAAATGTATAAGAACATCACGAGAAGGGATAAAGGCACAAGAAAAGCGATATCCGGGTTCAGCTAACATGTACCAGTTACTGTAGCGTTGCAATGATATGTGCTGCTTACGATATGCAACTTGTTTGCAGTGTTGCACATCGCCCGCAGCGGGCCCCGTTGCAACGCCACATTAACAAGTCACCTCTCGGCAAGCTGCAGTACTACGAGTGAGCCAACCTGTCCGCTGCAGTGGCAGTTCTGACACGGCCAATTTGGCGGCGACTCAGACGTCATATAAGCGGTCCATGACGTCACACGACGACGTACTGAGGAACACATTCACTGTGCAGTGAAATTTGTTGTGCTTGATGCAGTCTTCTGCGCTTGAAAGCTTAGCAATAGTTACAAGTGAGACTGTTTCATCCGATCTGATGCTTGCCTCAATACTTTCAAGTGTGAAAAGTCCGCTTTAGGCAGTTCAGCAGCGTTGTCGACCAAGTTGTTCAGTGCTGAACGGAATGTTAACCCTCTGTACCGCGTGAACCTACAGCTGGTGGTTTAAGTGAACCGACAGCTCGTGGTTTCAAGAGTCATCCTATCCGCTGATGTGCCGCGGAATTGACGGCACGGACGCAGCAGGGTGCCGGGAGCATCTGCGACGTTCGCCACCTGTTGGGGTTGATAGTGATCAGCAATTAAATACCCGAACACGAGGCCTGAAATACCGCAAAAATACATCATTGCCGCCACGGTAAAATGCACTTCGTGTGCACTCTTCGTATCATGTGAACCTTTTTTCACACATCCTGTCTTGCGCCCTGCTGTGGTATTTGTCGGTTTGAAGGCGACACCACCGTTCTTTTGGTGTGTGTGGGGGGGGGGGAGGGGGGTGAAGTTAAAGAGCAACAACGATTCCCTTTGACCATCAGATATTGATGCAAACTTTATCTGCTCGCTCGTCGACACCAACAACGTCTCGTTGCACTGACCCCGGTGGTCAGCACCCAAAGGCAACCGTCAGGATGTCTCCAGGCCCCGACCCACAGACAGCCGTCATCACCGTCGACATGCAATCGCCACCCCACAGACAGACAGCTGTCACTATACCGATGGACATGGCTGTCACTCCAACTCCAGGCCTTGCCCCATCCCAACACACACAGACAGCTGTCCTTCAGCGGACAGACAGCTGTCAACTCGTCGACAGACAGAGCTGTCACACGAAGCCCCGTCCCGCCACCGTTAAATAGCCGTCATCGCCATCGGCATGCAACAGTCAACGACAGCCGTCATCCACCGTCCGCCGAGTCACCAGACATCTGTCATGCCTCACATCCACCCGCCCCGCCGAATCGAAGCCCGCCCCCGCGCCGGCGGCCGGCCGTCTCTGAGCCGGCCGTGACGTCAGCGCCGCTTCGTCAATTGATTCGTGCGCGCGGCCGGCGGCGCGCGCGACAGGCGCGGTCGCCGCGGTCGGCTGACCGAGCGGACGGACGCGCGGCCGCCGGGCATGGACGTCTAACCCGCTGCCGCAGCCATGGTGCAAGTAGACGGCGTCCAGATCCAGCAGCTGGAGGCTACAGCGCCGCGTGAGTACCCGGGCCGATGCAGGTGGCCGGCACTGAGGGCGCCGCCAGCGCCGGATGACGCCCGCTGGCCGTGTGACGTCAGCGTCGCCGCCCGATTGCCTGTGGTCGATGCCCAAAATCGGCCACCACCGGGTGCGGCCGGCTGCTGACGGAGCTGAGCGATGCCCGGGCCTGGTCCGGACCGCCGGAGGGTCTGGCTGCAGCTCTGAGGTGGTGAAGAGTGGGCTCCAGATCTCCGGGCTTGTGCGGCCCGTGCGGGTCTGTCTGACTCAAGCTGAGAGACAACCAGCAGGCTGCAATCACAGCAGTTTAGGCGAGCGAGCAAAAAGTTTTTCATCCTTTACGTGTAGGGGATTGGATCAAACTATCGCTGATAAGTGAGGCATCGTTCGGAAGGGCCACGGGAGTGACCACATTTTCAGCAATAGCAGATGTCTGACAGCGAAATGTCTCTCATTACCTTATAGATACTGAGTGCACCCAAAAATTGTTGAGGTAAGGGGATTGTGTCCATCGAAAACTAATTCGCTATTGTAAATCGCGCAAATTTGTGCTATCTCCTTTCGGAAATGTATATTTTTGTCCGGCGTTAGCTCTTCATGAAGTCCTGGGAGGGTCTGGCTTTGTCATGGTGTCTATAGGACAATCGTGACCGTATCAAACATGACAGCACTCGTGGTGCTACTCTAAGGTGGCAGCACATCCGGACTAAGCGCTGGGGCAAGATCAGACCAAAGAAGTGGCGTTGCAGAAGTGGCAACATCGCGTTGCTCTTTATCAGTTAGACTGGAACAAAGGATATTTAGAAGTAATATTTTCGTTCCGAGAAAAAAATCCAAAACTCTCCGTTAGACCCGATCCCGTCGGCGCAGCCGCCAAGCAGGCGCCATCAGTCGATATCACAGCGTCAACAGACGCCACCACACCGCCAGTGGGTGTAGTCGTTAGCAGATGGTACGTCGCCCAGTCGCCCCCCAAGATCAGCTGGGTTGGTTCACCAGTCAACTACGCAGTACCGTCTGACTTTAATCTACCAGTTGGTCGTCAGGTAGCGACGGACGTTTCCGCATCGTTTATCGTCCAGCGAGAGCCGACTTCTCCCCAGTGGTCGGTCGGACGAGGGGCGGATCCATAGGGGATGGTCATTGAGGCATTTCCCCGCTCCCTGGGGCCTACGTGAGGCTTGGTGAGGAGAAGTTGTGGTTGATTGCGGACATAATTGATGAATTTCCCGCCCAGTCTCCACGAACTTCGGCGTGTCACAGGCACATGAAACCACGCAGATCACATGTAGCATCATGCAAGTTTTTACGATCCGAATTTGAGATAACAAAAGTTTGGTTATGGGTCCGATTGGTGCGGTTGGGCCCCCATCCATGGTGGGACCACAGAGAGTTTAATGGTCGCCACCTCGGTGAGACCCGTCCCTGGGTCGTGCGGTATCGAAAAACGCCCTTTCGCCAATTACCCGCATACAGAACACCAAGGCAAGTACATTTGTCTGGCGAGTGTTCTATGTCTGGCGGTGCACGGACCCTCCGCCATCGCATCTCCACATCAGTCCATGGTCCGTCTGCTCGCCAATGTCTCCGCATTCGCAGCGTGCGCCGGCCACCGGCGCGTGCCGGCCGAGCACTCCATCAGGCCAATTACGGGCGTGTTGCGGTGCGCAGCGGCCGTGCTAGGCTCCCGCAATTACAACAGGACAGCGCACGGCCCTCGTTCAGACCCCGTGATCACAACAGGGCTGCGAGCGGCGCCCGCCTGACCGTGTTCGGCCCTAACAGGAGCGCCTGATTACCAGTTCCTGCCGTCCTTTGGTCGGCTACGCCCGGCGCGCGGAGTGCATACAGCCAGTGCGTCCACCTCAGTGGCCGGGGCTGCGATGGGTCGACAGAACGCGGCCGTCGCTAATTAATCCGGCAGGGAAAGGTCAGGACAGATGCTCGGTATCCGACTCCCCAATCAGGGGTGGCTGGGGATCGTTTGCCGCAGCCTGGCGCGTCGACGCGAGCTGCGGCGTGAAACGAAACAAACGCCGGCGTGCGGGTACGAAGCAAACTGTGCCGTGCCGTGCAACTACAATTTGATGTGCATGTGCCACTCAGTGGAACCGCAAGAATTTGTCAGTAATTTTCGCTCATGGAGAAGGCGCCCAGCACACCCAGCTGTCGCCTTTCCGCTCACAACTCCTTCTGTGGCACCACCTGTTTGCGCCATGAGAAATTCAGAGATGCGTTGTTTGGTTGCCACAGTACGCGTGGCCCGGCTAATGCCGAGTCAGCACCGGCTGGAGCGGTTGACTGTAGCGAGGCCTGGGCTGGTAATGGGGATGCCCTGCTGGCACCGGGAAATGTTGGCCATATATTCAGCACATTGAAAGCCGGCATTGGTGCCGGACTAGTCAAAGGATGTGGGTGCTTAGTCGTTACCGAGACGTCTTGTCTGTCATTGGCCTGCTGCTGGCACTGGCTGTTTTAAGATATTTCGTGTCTGAAATAAAACATAAATGATTAAACGAGCTAACAGTAGCGGTTCAACAACCGCCAGTAAATCATCCCACCAAGAAAATAAAAGCCAAACGCCACCAGGCTTTTATGTTGTGGGTTTCATCCCGCTTAATCGAGTTGGTGTGTCTTGGCAGCGGGAAATGGATCTCAGGGTCAGGTCTTCGCTCAGGCTCACAGCATATGTCACGCGACGTGACGTCAGTTGAATACAAGGTGCGACTGCCTGAGAGTGTATTAAGCTATACGTGACTGGACTTTGACTCTTGCATGTCATGCACAAAACGGATTTGCGTGCTTCTCAATTCGCAGCGTATTCCGAAACGCGATACCTCACAAGGTATACACTTTGCCCTAGTTTCACGCACTGGTCCAATGGATTCAGCCATGACGGTTACACGCTTTTTTTGGTATTTCGCATTTCCCTCGGGGCACATGGACGACCGAAATAACCGATTTTCACATATTGATTCAACAAACTCCGTCTTTTGTAACGCTTAATCTATGGACCTTACATTTTGCCATCGTGATAGGTGCAGTAGTTCCCACCATACTGCGTAGCCACACCGGCCACCCAATATAACACAACGTGCTCCCAACACAAATCAGAAGTAACGACGGTCACAGAAAATGGCATTTGGTCGCTAGTTGTCTTTATGTTTTCATTCCCCGCCTTGACTGTGAGGTACTTTCTGACATTTTACTTCATTGAAAGGAATGATGCCGCGATTTTACCCAGTTCAAGATTATTTGGGGTTGAAAATAACCTCAAACAAGAGGTCCATCAGTTCAATATGTGGTCATCAAACTGTTGAACTGTCGAGCAACATATCTGCGAGCCATTTTCTCTCGACTCACGGCTCGTCCGGACTAGGTGGGTTTTGATGCCTTGGCGTATCGACAAAATATGTTCACCATTTATTGGAGGCCACAGGCGCGTTCCAATGCCGAAGAGCAAATGCCGAAAATGGCATCGGAAAAGGCTGAGTCGAGAGGGTCTGTGATTTTTGACATGGTCTGTATGGAGATGGAGTGAGCACTACACTCTTCTCCTTACGTACTGCCGCATTTTCAAGCGTCAGGAAAGTCATTTTCCTCTGCCATATGGAGGCCACTTACCGAAGCAAGAACGTGCAATACATGGCTGCCCCATGAGGCATTCTGTCGGAATTAGCCCAGCCCGCATACTCCCAGACCACCTGCTGCATGGAATGGTGGCGCATCAGGAGACCTACGCCCAGTAGCCAAACGCTCACAAGACCTACGCCCAGGGGGCATACGTGTACAAGACCTATGCCCCATAGACCTAAGCCAACAAGACGTACGCTCAAAAAGACCTACACTCAAAAGGCTCACACTTGAAAAACCTACTGTCATGGGTACCTGCGCTCGGACAATCTACACTCGAAAAACCTTTACGTTGAGGACGTACTCTTGCAATGTCTATGCTTAGGAGACCCACTCCGTGAATACCTACTGGCGGCGTCCGTTTAACGAATCAAAATATTTGAGCGGCGTGGGGTGGCAGCACACAAGAGTGGCTTGGGCACGATAGAGCTGGCTGGGGATTACTGAAAGGCCGGTTCGGCGACCTGGTAACGTCTAAACCTGACCCAATGCATATACCTGGCCTAAACATACACAGGCCCGTCTCCCATCCAAAAAGTTACAGATTTGCCGGATTTTAGTATAAGAATCGGATATCAACGGGATGTTTTGATTTGTTAACAGTTAAACTACAGAAGGTCCTCCCCGCGCGTTGGCATTCTGGGGGTATGTCTTCCGGGCGTAGATATTCATCGCAGTGGGCCTTCCAAGCATTAAATTCTGCCAAAGACCACCTAAATGTCTCCTGATCTTCCAGATTGCTGTGCTGTAATGCGCATTGCTAAACAAGGTGCATTTCTGGAGTTCTCATTTCAAGGTATCGCGCCCGGGGTCTCGCGTTTACTGAGAGATGAGCACGGGTTCGGCTGCCTCCCTTCTGTAAACTCCTGCGTGACCGGAACGCACCGGGAGGGTGTGAAATGTTCTACAATATATACTCAGAACAATTTGCGCAGGATCTATTCACTACCTCTGACATAGTATGATACTGTGATGGCCAGCATGTGAGTTTTCCCACTTCTTGGGCGCAAGGTATTTATGCCCCGCGGAAACCGATTTTTTTACTTGTAATTTTGTAGAAACGGCACAGACCCAGCAGGGAGAACTACTTACAGGCGATTTTCACGGGGTTATACATCACACCCTGCAGACCCAAAGCAGCTAATCCTGCTGCACAAAATTAAAGCCAAAGGTGAATGCCGATGTGAAATGTATAGCATCATTATTCCAATGAAATGCCCCGAGTAATCGTTGATTAGGCCTAACATTTTCGCCGCGCTTGGAATCAGGGTAATCGATCTGTAGCCCATTGTTCTTTGGGCGAAACTGTAAATAGCGCAGCACGTGGTTGTTCTGGAGCATAATAGAGATTCCACAAGGACTCAG